TGTGTGTGTGTGTGTGTGTGTGTGTGTGTGTGTGTGTGTGTGTGTGTGTGTGTGTGTGTGTGTGTGTGTATGTATGTATGTGGAGGAAAGGAGGATGGACCATTAAAAAATGGTCGTGTAATAATTTTAAAGCCGGCGTAATTTGTTTCAGGTCGCCTTATCGTGCCCGAGGCGCGAAAGCAGGTGAGCTCGCTGTTCCCGTCACAGGAGTTCGAAATAATTACCATCCGCGCGTCACTTTTTGAAACATCCCCGTCGCGCTGTCGCGATATCGCGTCGGCACGTCGCCCGACTCGGCCACGAGAGGGGTGAGAAATTGTTGCAGAAATTACAATGCCGAGACATTAAATGCGCGTTGTGCGTCAGTTAACCGCTCAGTTAACCCGACCGACCCATCCGTCGTGTATAACGTCGGCGAAAATATTAATTGCGCAAAGGCGGTCGCACGTGCATTTGTCTTTAAAAAAAGAATGAGTTGTGCGCTCGAGTTCGCCAATTCAATTAATTAATGCTTAATTGCTCGTTATGCAACAATTTCTTTCTATATTTGAAAACGAAAAGCAAAAAAACTTATTATTAATTCATGATTCCAGAAGGGCTATAATTTTAACTTGCGATAATTTTCACTAGCAAAAAAAATATCAATATCCCGCAAAAGTGGAATCGGAGTGGATATTAAAAATTCGATTACAGTTAATTTAAGCTATTATTTTGATTATCAGAAAAGAGAATAACGTGGCGTACGGGCGGTAAGCTGCTGACAAGCGAATTGGATATTAGTAGAAATAAGTGAAAAGTGATAAGTTAGTTAGGCGGCCCTCCTCCGCCCCTTACCTTCCGCCCGGGGCAATTTAGCGCCAGCGATGAATGCGAGCCGCGCAGTTTTTACCGGTGCTAAATCTGCGTTAACTTATTATTACCCCGTCGGCGTGTTTATGACGATAGCGTCGGGTTTTATGCTTCCGTGATATATTATCGAAGTACCAATTTCGCCGTAAGCGCTGAAACGCTTAATCGTGACAAACCGTCCGCGTAAACGTTGCTAATATTGTTCTCGAAACCTACCGTATCGTCGTAATAGCGCCGTAAGTACGCGAGCGTACATATTACACAGCTTAACATGCGAAATTACGCCATCCCGATCGAAGTTACCGCCTTCATGAGATACCGCCGTAATTAAATCTTAATTATTAATTTTTTCTTAATATGCTCTCTCTCTCTCTC